CGCCACGGGACGGTCACCCGGCGAGTCCCGCGACGCCCTCGCCTGACGCAGGCGCTGCTCTGGAGAACTCTCTTGCCCAGCTGCACCTGGGCACAGACAGCGCTGCTGAAAGGAGCCACAGGGGAGAAGGGGAGGAGGGCCATGGGTCGCCGTCGGCCGCCAGAGTGCCCGACGCCCCTGCAGAGGAAACAGAGTCGGATTCCAGCAGTGACAGCGAGGCCACATCTTCCCCCGCACAGCCTGGCCCGGCCTCTGCCCTGTGGAGACAGCCGAGCACGACGCAGGCGGCAGTGGAGAGAGCAGCGGCAGCGGCCAACAGCAGCACCAGGTCTAGGAGGCCGGATGGACAGTGCACAGTTACGGAGGTTTAAATCCAGAGCTCCACGAGTAAAAACTCAGTGCTGTATCTGCACACTTGCTGTCCACGGTGGCACTGCGCTCAAACCTTGCCGTGCAGCTGGGGGGAGGTGGGTGAAGGAGAGAAGCGGATCTGGCCTCTGTAACCTAAGTAAGTCTCACTAACATGTCTCAGCTGGAAGACTCTCTAACTGTAAGAAACTGGGTTGTCTGGTTAATGGTTGGAAAGCTGCTTAGCAATACCCAGTTTTCCTGAAAGTGTCTTGTGTTCATTTTGTAGAATTTTCCCCTTGAAAATCCTCGATCCCTTTTTGGCCAATGTATATCTACTGTACAACTTGAGTTGTCTTCATTATCTGACTGTTGCATTAAGTGTCTTACTACTTTCTGCATGGATTGATGTATGAAAAGAACACTAAAGGAATGTGGGAGCGGACAAGGTGTTGGGTGTGAGCAGGTTGCCTAATTTAATGTGAGAAAAATAGATGTGAGTTTGGAGTTAAAATGTGTTTTTACTAGACAGAGCAATCATTTACCTTCCTTAATGGAAATGTAAAAATGCTGTTAACTTTTGTTGCAAACTCTTTACCTATATACTTTTCATGGCATTTTCACTGGCTTTGCCATCTAGTCCTTGTAGTTTTGTTTTTGAGGTCTTGGATCTGTCTAGTTTTTGTTACGGAATTTATAATTTAATAAAACCACATTTTATCAGTAACAATAGTGGATATGTCTCCACTTGAGTTAAACATCATTGGATGAACATTAAATGAAATTACCCTAAACCAGCTTCCTGTGCTTGCTGAAAGGGAGGATGGGCTTTGGATGCTATCTTGAAATTCTGGCATCTCTGACTGCATCACACCATAGCAGTCTGTGTCTCTGCTGAAGTAATGTTAACTGGGGCCTTAATGTTTACCCTTGCTTAATCTTTACCCTTTCTCAAGAGCTGACCAGCTCACTGTGCTGTTACAGTGGGCAACCATGTTGAAATAAGAGAGTTAAGTAATTAAATTTGATCTTAGAATGAAGAATGTTAAGGACTAAACTGCTCTGTACCTGTTCTTCACAGCAAAACTAGTGACAGCACAGAAAGGATTTTGTGTGTGTACTGGACACACAACTCCAGCATTAGCCCCAAATGCTACACAACAACGTCTGCAGATTACAGAATTTGAGGAAGCTGGAGGTTGAAAAGTGCAGCTTGCTTTTTGTCTATGGCAATTGTTTTAGATTTTGCAAATGAAGACACAGCATCAGTTGATTTCCAGCTTCATCTTTATGAGAAAGTTAATTCAGGTGTGACTCTGACTGCATGTGCCCCTGAATGGATTAAGAATGGGTTAAGAGTAGTTATGTAAGTACTTCAGCTCTTCAAGCAAAAGGTGCTTAGATCTACCTCCATTTGAAGAGAATTAAATGGAGGGCTTTGCTTGTTTGTTCTAATCATGGACTGAAATTTCTCCCTTTTAAGGGGAGATGATGACTCTCCTGAGGTGGGTCTTTCCTGAGATGATGACTTCCATCCATGCCAGTTCTGGGCAGAACTTTGCAAGTTCTTGAGTTTCTGGGTCCCTTGTCCACAGCTGAGATAGAAGGTAGATTAATGCATAGGGAGTGGGAAAGAGAGGGGCAAGGAGGAGAACAGCAGCAGGGGAGGATGCTCACTGGAAACTTTTTCTTTGCTAGCTACGCATGGACTTCCTTTAGCACAGAGTTTTACTATCACAATCCATTGCTGGATTTTAAAAGGGAACAGAGGACTGGGAATTTTTTTTTCTTCCAGCTGTTAGCTTGCTTGCTTCTTTCTCTGTTTTGAGTTAGTTAGCACGCAGTGACTTTAATCAGAATCCATTTGTGCTATAAAAATATACCCTAAAAACACTTCATCTATACTTACACGCATTTCTCTTAATGTGGATGGCATGTATTGTTAAAAGCAAAAGGCAAAATACAGATCTTTTGGGGCTGAAAGTCCTGAAAAATCTACAACAACTAATTTTATCTGTGACTGTCCTTGGGGGCTCTTGACTGTGGTAGAGAGATGGGCCTCAGCTTTAGCCAAACACCCAAAATGTTGTCTTTGGCTCCTGCTGGCTGACTGCAGCTGTGAATTACTAAAATTAGTTAAAGTCAGGCTGCTAAGAGCTTAATAATAGCCAGTCACCAGCATGGCAACTGCGCTCTGCAGATGAAGTGAGGAATTAATAGTTACTTTTTCCTTCTGTCTTATATTTAAACCATTACCTTCAGGAGGGGACTCTTATCCTGTCACTTGCACCAAAGCCGTAGCTATACTGCATTACATGCGCACTAGGGCAGAAGGGACAGGATATTAATACAAAGCCGTATTGCACCTCTCCGGTTTCGCCAGAGCAAGCGCCACAAATGCAGGAATCCCATCTCCTGATAAACAAACAACCTCATTACAAGCCCAGGCTTCGGTTGCCAAGATATTCTTGCTAAAATTGCCCCTGTGGCAAGAGTGCTTCTGTCACCGGTGGGCAGCAGCGACGATGATAAAGGAACCTGTGGCCGGAGGCGATGCCGAGGGGGCCGGATCCAACCGTGCGGCGCTCGGCCCGCAGCCGCAGCCTGCCGGGGCGCTGAGGCTGCCCCGCGCAGAGGCCAGGGAGCAGTGTCGGCCGTTCGCAGGGCGGCATCGAGCCGGTCTGCGAGCGAGGAGCTGCCCACGGAGCCCCCAGGACGCGCAGAGGCAGCGCTGAAGTGGGAGGCTGAGAGTAACATTGCTGAGCACGGGTTTCTAGGTTCTTTTGTGCATTTAGTTCGTTTTGGCTCTTAGGGCATTCCCAAAGGGGACATAGTCTTTAATAACTGTAAAGAAAATAAATACAAATAGCCATGACTTACAGGTTATAGGTGTTTGCTGTTTTAAGATGATAAGCAGCTGCTCTGTGAAATGAAGCTAGGTTTGAAACAGATAGATAAAAATAATCCCAGTTTATGCGACTCAGTGTGGGGCCATCACATGTTAGCACTTAGGATGGCTTAGTTGGGCTGGTTTTCATATGAAAAGCTATATTTATTAGCTATGAAACAAAACAAAAAGTAAGCTTACGTGAATACAACACCTCATGAAGCTGCTCGCCAAACCGCTGATCAAAACTCCTCCATTCTTCTGAACACCGTATCATCTGGGTTTGGTGTATTCTGACCAGAGGATGAAATGAGCTTCTGAGACTGCCCTGCTCATTGCTAGTACTAGCTAATTATTTGTGCATTTCTTAGAACCAAACAGGGGCCTGTGATACAGGAGAGGAGGGCTGGGTAAATGCATTGCCTGAAGTGAGGAATAAGCTCCCTGTCTATAAACCAACATGGAAAGGGGTCCCCAAAAGGTTTAGATACTGCATTTCACTTGCTGGCAGCACAGGTTTTGTTCAGAAAGCGTAGGTACAAGCAATTCATTTTTCTCCTACCGTTTCATCCCTTTTAAATCACCTAGTACAGGGAATATTATTAACATCAGCTACAATCTGATCTGAAAAATCAAAATGATCCAAGGGTCTCGAGTTCCAGAATCCCTCCCTCATGAAACTTTAAAAGCTTCATGAAAGGTGGAACAGTTTCAACACTAAACAGCCCAGTAATGCCTTACTGTATTAACATATCCTTATTTCAGAAGTCTTGTGCTTGAAATCCTTCAGAGCATAGGAAAGAATCATCCAGCAGCAGAGAGAACCGAAAAAAGTTTCCCAACAACTGAAAAAGGGCACACAAAGCAGATCAGTACTCTTCCCATTCTCCCCTTTAAATTGCTAATAAAAACGGGCCTTTATTTTGAGCAGAAAGCCAGCTGAAGTTTCCCTCCAGCAGCAGATTCAGGTGCAAAGGCAGAAAGGAAGGAGCAACAGAATAGAACGAGTTCCTCAGCAAGGACCCTTTTGGTTGCTCCTGGCTATACTTGCTTCCCATCGCAAAAGCCCTGCAGTGAAACACCCCCAGCAGCTCTAAGGACCTGCTTTGAGGCTAAAGAATCTAACAGGCAATACAGAACCTGCATCCCTTAGTTAACCTGGCCCAAGATCCTCCAGCCCCCTTACTTACCCTACGGTCTAGAACTGAGGAATCCTGCCATCCTGTAGGAGCCACAACACCTATTTCCATCCAAGGAATCTCCTGCCTCTGCTCAGGGCCCTTGTGCCGGGCACCCTCACCTCAGCTCCGCCGGGGCCGGCACTGGGGAGGCCTCAGGCCGGCCTCACCCGAGGCCAGCGCGCTCCGCTCCGCAGCACGGGAAGCCCTCGGTCACGGACACGGCTGCAGGGTTTTGCTCTCAGAGATATTTTGCTTTAAATCAAGCCTCATCTGCCTAAGCAGGGGCTCAGTTTCTAATTCCTAAAGAGAAAATTCTCCCCACGGAGTTACCTAACTAAGTGCTTGCACAGTCACTGGCATGAAGGGAAGTCTGAGTTCCAAATCCTTTGGTCTTTCACAACCTTAATGTGCCCTACCAGCAAAAATACTCTGGACTATGGTATTTTTTACCAGACAGATCCATAGAGAAGTCTTTCAAGGGAACAGAAAGAATCACCGTCCAATAAAGGAAAAGCATTCTGGGGAAGTGCACATCATGGCTTCCAATACTGCAGCACGATCCTCAGTAGAGAAAACAGGTCAGCACCTCTGCACGTGCCCAGCGGCACAGATCCAGATCACAGGAATATGCCTATGGGGTTAGATGGTATCTGGTTCCTGCAGCAGCAAGACGACACCTAAATGTATTTAAGGATTTGGATCCGGAGCACTGAACAAAGGCTGTTAAGTGCCTCAACGTGTTAGAGCTGCTTCTATAAAAATCACCATAAAGTTCAAAGTCCTTGGTTACTTCATCAGCAAATATACTAAGAATTGATTGGAAAAAAAAAATCTATGCTCTCATCAGTTATTGTCGCATCAAAGCTGTTTTAAGATGCTGGTCACATGTTGAACAACTAATTGTGCAGCTTTAGATGCACCTGTTCTGCAAATAAAATTCCTCTCTCAAGCAATTCATTTCCATACCAATTAGAAAAACAAAATTAGCTCCAAAGAAAGTCTTCGGCCTCATTCCAGAAGAATTATAGTTTCATTCTCAGCACGGTACTTACCTTTACGTGCTAATTTCACTAATCTCCATTCAATGAGTGATTAGAACAGAGGATTTCCTCGTGGTTGCACAGCAAACACATCTGCCTAATGTGAAACACAGGAATGTTAACACCAGTTTAAATGAAGAAGTTCTTAAATGAATCAATTTAATGTGTGCTTCAGTGAGAGCTTTGGGATCAAGAACGTTTCTTACACACTGATCATCATCTGTGTTTTGTTCTTCGAAGCAACGCCTGCAAATTGGCAGGCCCACCCCACACCGTACCGAAAATGTCCCTCTCTGTCCTTAAGGCAGTTTCTAGCGGTAGCTCTTTTCCTGCTGTAACCACCTTTTTCATGGCCCGAATCACGCTGGCTGGCGCGTCCGTGTGCGCCCTCAGCCAGGCTCGCGCTTCTTGTAAGGACGCGGTTTCATCGGGCGACACCAGCGTGCCCTCCGACAGGCCCAGGCACAGGGCTCGCTGCGGGTCCACGCTGAGGGCCCCGCTCAGGAGGCGGAGGGCAGCGCTGCTGCCCACGAGCCGCC